AGACATTTAAATAGATAGTCAGATCAAAGTATTTGATCTCTGTTTGATGCACACACAGCCAAGCGCTGCTCAGCAGACGAAAGATCCCATGTGAACTCACAGTGTCTTGATGATGTCTCTGAGACAGAATCATGAAATGGTTTGGGCTGGAAGGGACCTTAAAGATTCTCTGTTTCCAAATATAAGCAGCTATTGATACCCAAGTAGCTGGCACAGTTAATTACTACAACCAAGGCAAAGGAAAGCCACAGAATAACATCAATTTCCAAGATCCTGTCATTGCTTAGAAAACTTTCACCTGTCAAAAAATGATCTAGCAGAAATATGCACTGCAGAGACAAAGGGGACATGTGTGATGAAATGTGTCTTCCTTGTGAAGGATAACTAAAATAACCAGCTGTGTTTAAATGGTGGCTTAACCAGGAGTCCACCCATGGATAATGAAAATCTACAGACATTCAAAAAACAAATGGGAAAAACCAAAGCCATATCTGTTCAGGATAGAACAGCACAAGTCTCTGTGTGGGTAATTCCATGGGTGAGAGGTCTCTGACAGCAACAGGGTAAGAGTTTAAGTAACTCTTTGATATCAGCTGCTTTCATTGGAACAGGGCTCTGGGACAGCCAGATCTTTTGTCTGAACAGTTTGTTGCTAATAACATATGAGTCTGACTTCAGAAGTTCATTTGGCATCTAAACCAGCAAATTAACTGGATATTTGCACACAAGTTATCAAATTTGTCTGTTGTGATAGCTAAACAGAAAAAAAAAATAGGTTCACAGTTACAGCTTTTGTACAGTCATGGGCTTGAGACCCAGCCAAAAGAAATAATTAGGCATTAGAAGTTCTACTTTCAATGACTAATATTCTCTATTCAGCTTAACCTGGGAAAATCTGTATGCTACTAAGAAAATTATCCTTCCTCAGAAATCCCAGTTTTCGTTCACAATACATTCCATCACTGGTAAAATACATTAATTTGATGCACAGTGTGTTCAATAGCAGTTTTGTATTCCCAGCACACCTAAAGGAGAGAAATGGCAATTACAGTCATTTTATTCAAGTTATCTTTCCCAGCCATCAATTACACTGTAAAGGTTAATTTGAAAAACAAGCTGGCCAGCTGTCTAATCTTATCTTCCTGGCTTCATTGATGCTGCATTATGCTTTGTGTTTGAAAGTTTAAAATTAGGGAGTGTCTATAAAACAAATAGAGACCCTGAAAATACCAAGAAAAAAAGTCCTGAATTGGTTTAAAAATACCCAAAGAATCATTAAAAAACACCCAAACAATAAATCCATCACAATGGCAAAAGTGAAATTACACCTGCTTCAGTAGAACTCTTCCAAAAAGTTTTGGCCTACTTAATTTGAGCATAAAATGAGCAGAACAAAAAATCCGGTGATAATTTTACCAGAGCTTCAGCAGCCCCAGCTCCACCCAGGAGAGCTGACCAAAGCACAGTGCTGAACCAGGCTATCCCTCAGCTCTGGAATTAGCTCAGTTAACAAGGAAATACCTGCCTGCACCCCAGTCAGGACGGGATGAACAAAGGGGGAGAATAGTCTCCTCAAATGTGTCACCTTGGGGTGCAGATTCAAATGGAAACAGCAGAAATAATTTGTGTTTGGGACTAGAGGGGTTTTTTTGTTTGTTTGTTTATTAATAAAAGCTGAAATCATAAGAAATCATAAAGAATAGAGCAGAAGATTTGAGCAGCAACATTCGCACGAAGTTCTTATGAGTCTAATAAATGCCATTTGTTTACATAATGGAGAAAACTGAGAATGGATGGCACAAATCATGGTCTAGCAGACCAATTTTCCACTTGGATCAAGACTTAGCTTTTTTCCTCTCCTGAAATTCTGACATTAAAGCACTCATGGAAAAGAACAGTTGCAGAAAGAAAATGGAGTCTGTGAAGCTTTCATTGAGGTAAAATCATAAATCTAATCAGTTCAACACTTTGCAGTGTTTTTGCAGGAGCAGCAACTACAAAAGCTACAGTATCACCATAAATCATCTGATATTTTATTGTCATAAACATCTGCAGCTCCTGGATATAGATATGTAGTCAAGGGAACACTTGAAAAGGGGTAAGGAATGCCAGGGACACTCATTATGAAAAGTAATGTTCAAACCAGGATTTCTTTTGCTTTTGTCATTAGGACCTAAGAGTTTATGAAGTTATGCAGACATTAATGGCTGCACTGATTTACTGTATTTCCAAATTAAGGCCACACCTTCAAATCCTTTTGTTGAATCAACACCAACAGACTGTTCACATTAGGTTAGGCAGATTGGAAGAACAATACAGTGTTAAGCTCACCAAAAAACCCTTAGCCAAAGCCATGATTTCCAGCAGCAGATATTAATGTTTGTTTTGGGATTCATTCACCTGAGTAAATACTGAACTTCCAAAAGACACCGAGCTGCAAAGGGGCATGCAAGGCAGGGCCCAAAGCAAGGCTCCTACGAGGAGATCCATCCACACAGCTCAGTGCTGTTCTAAGCACAGGCAGAAACCTGGGTCCAGAACGTGCCTGTGCATGGCCCAGAGCCCGGGTTAATGCCCTGCCTGTCAGCACAGCCTGTAAGGCCGGGCCCAGTGCCAGCCCGACGGGCTCTGGAGCAGCCTCTGTGCCCTGCTCCACCAGCGGGTTCCGAGGGGAGAAACACCCACATATCATACGCTGCTTTGGCCACTCACTCCTTGGTTTTGCTTAAACCCATGGAGCACTCCAGGCTGGGGCAGAGGGGCTGGGAAGCTGGGACAGGCCCTGGAGTGCTGTGATGATGAGGCCTGTGGTGTTGAGATGACCCCAGGTGTCCCAGCCCCGAGACTGAAGAAGCCGAGATGCGTTGGCTCTGCCTTTCAAGATTGTTTATTTTCTTTTTATCTATAACATTCTTTCTCTGACCCACCCAGGTCTGTCTGGCAGGTTGGGTTGTGGCACAGTGACAACCTCAGGGTAGTGTTAGCTTTTTATACTAAAAACTACGTGTACTTTATTTACTATAACTTCCCAATACCTATCACCCATGTTAGACAGTGAGCTTCTACTCTAAACCAATCCAAAAGTGCCCCCATCACAGCAGAAGATGGAGGCCAAGAAGAAACAGGAGGAAGGACAGGACAGGCCCACATTCCTCCATCTTGCCTCCTGAACCCACATCCTAAAAACCCCAAAATTCTCCATTTTCACCTTGTGATAAATTCACTATCATTCTACTCAAAGCCTTGTGGCTGGTAGCAAAGTTGGTAATTGTTGTTTCCATGGGTTACAATTGAAGGCCCAGGTGTCTCTCACTCCATGCCCAGGTCTCTGAGGCCCCTGCCAGGCCCTGAGGGCAGCCAGAGCAATGTCCTGGCTTCCAGCACTGTGCCAGCAGCCGGGCACAGCCCAGGGGTGCCCAGGGGGCCCAGAGGCCGATGGCCCCTGGGCTGTGCCAGCCCTGGGGTGGCGGCAGGAGCGGGGCAGGGCCCGTCCCTGTGCCGGCCCTGCTGAGGCCACACCTCGAGGGCTGGGGCACCTCTGGGCCCTCACGCAGGCAATGGAGGGGCTGCAGCGTGGCCAGGGAAGGGAATGGAGCTGGGAAGGGAATGGAGCCCCAGGAGAGGCTGAGGGAGCTGGGCAGGGGCTCAGCCTGGAGCAAAGGAGGCTCAGGGGGCCCTTGTGGCTCTGCACGGCTCCTGCCAGGAGGGCACAGCCGGGGGGGTCGGGCTGTGCTCCAGGTACCAGGGACAGGAGCAGAGGGAACGGCCTCAGGCTGGGCCAGGGCAGGCTCAGGGTGGGCATCAGGAAATGATGAACTTCACTGAAAGGGTGGTCAGACATTGAAATACACTTCCCAGGGACGTGGGGGTGTCATCATCCCTGGGAGAGTTGCAAAAGTGCTTGAATGTGGCATTTGGGGACTGGGTTAGTAGTGAACGGCACTGGGTTAAGGCTTGGACTTGATAACCTTAGATGTCTTCTCCAACATCAACCATTCTGAAACTCCTGCCTCTTCTGTCTCTCAACACATAAACTTCTCCCTCTCAAAATTTTGGAGACTATTTCCTAATAGAGATGGCAAGCAAACTGTTATCACTGCCTGCCCCACATTTAGCAAACACCTCCCTACTTCTTTTCTTGCAGCTTCTCACAGATGAGTTTTCCTTCTCCCCATCCAAAATTTATTACTGGGCAAAAGGAGCACTTCTTTCATGCTTGATTTTCCTTTCCCAGAAAGACTGCCTCCTACTTTTGGTGGCATAGTTGGGGACATCAAGACAGGCCAACCACAGCTTCAGTGGTTTCTTTACATCCTAAACTTTCATCCTTTCCATCATAAATTGCTTCTTTTCACCCTAATCCAAGGGCTGTGGTATTTTCGTGGTCCCCAGGATGAAGTAGGAATTGAGAATCTGACTCCATGTTATTAGAAGGCTATTACATTATATTATATTATATTATATTATATTATATTATATTATATTATATTATATTATATTATATTATATTATATTATATTATATTATATTATATTATATTATATTATATTATATTATATTATATTATGCTGTACTAAAACTATGCTAAAGAATAGAGAAAAGATACAGACAGAAGGTTACAAATAATGATCATGAAAACTCACGACTGCTTCCAGAGTCCTGACACAGCTGGCTGCGATTGGTCATTAAGTCAAAACAATTCACATGAAACCAATCAAACATGCACCTGTTGGATAAACACTCTCCAGCCACATTCCAAAGCAGCAAAACAGGGAGAAGCAAATCAGATAATTATTGTTTTTCTTTTCTCTCTGAGGCTTCTCAGCTTCCCAGGAGAAGAACTCCTGGGCAAAGGGATTTTTCAGAAAATGTGACAGCGACAAAGGGCCAGTCGCTAAAGACACTGCTGTAAATCCCCTCTAGCTCTGTGTTCACCACCAAGTTTCGCTGCTTTAGCTGGAATCACTGCTGGCTAGAAATGAAACAGACAAAACCCTTACCCTCAACAGCCAGAGAGACGATGCCCTGCGTGTCCTCCACTCCGTACATGACGTCGCAGCGATAGACCCCGGCGTCGCTGGCGCGCAGCTTGGAGAAGGTCAGCGAGGCATCCCCGCTCTCCTCAGAATGGCTGGGGACAGACACCCTGTCCTTGTAGCTCTGGCCTATCTTGATGTTGCCGTTTTGGGCCACCAGGACCGTGGTTTCCTTGGCGTCCTTCCCGCTTTTGTCCAGTTCCACCTTGGACCATTTGATCCGGAGGTACTCGGCGGCGTAGCTGGAGGAGATGGTGGGTGTGGTTGAAAAGAAGCATGGCAGGACTGAAGTTCCAGAGAGAGATCCCTTGACCAGGGTTTTTTTTTCTGCTTTAACTAGAAAAAGGGAAGAGAGCGAGGAGAGAGAAAGGAAAAATCGCATTAGTGTAACAGCAAAATCAGAAACAGATATATGTCATTGTTAATTAATGACTCACTAATGCAAAGCCTGAAATCCATGAACCTTAGCTGATTTGTAACAGGACTGGGGAGTATAAGCTGAGAAAGAATTTGTATCAATCTTGGTACACCTTAGGCTGATGATGGAGCAAATTTCTCTTTGGGAAAATTTCATTCTGACTTATTTTCTCTATTTGTTATGGTCACTAAGTAATTAACCTTTGGGAACTGGTCTGAAATTTTACGTGAGAGATGAACTGTAAGAGCTGTTTCTTCAATTCACAGGAGGAAGACCACTCTGAGTGAAAAACCATGAGTTACCTCACTGGCCAAAACGCTGAATGCAGGGGAGCTGCTGGAGTTCACACCTTGCCTCTCTCCTCAGAAGGAAACACAGCCCATGGCTTTGCACCCCTGTCACCCCTGACCCCACTGTTCTCTCAGGGGTTAATTCTTTTTTACTGCACACGTGCTGAAACAAAAGCCTTTCCAGAGAGAGTCTCCCAAACAGTCACTCTTTCAAAGTTGTTTCCTTGCAGCCTCCGGGCCCTTAACACATCGCAGAAATGAAATATTTCAGGATGTAAAAGCAAAGGAAGAAGTAAAGCCCGCAGAAAGTCCCTGCTTGGCTCAGACTTGACATGATCAGGACTTCTATCATTTTTTATGTCATCTCCAGCTGCAAACATTTCACAGTGAAATGTTTCCATCTGACAATATCCTGAGGGGGAAGTTGACTACTGTTCATCCAAGCTGCACCCCGTGACTGAAGAGAGGGTTTCTGATGGATTTTCCTTTTTTTATGTGATGTTATTTCATCACACATAATGGCTTAATGAAGATTAAAAGCTAATGCTCAATAGGAACTGTTTTACCTCTTTCACAATCCTTCTAACATTTTGAAAGGTAGAGCAGGGTCATAATTATTTTGAAGGGAGCTGGGATTTATAAAGTTTAGAAATATGGTAACTTAATAATAGCCATCAACAGAGTGATACATGAAACAGGAGTACATGAAAATTATCTGTTTACCTATGATAAAAAGTATAATCTCTCCATAAAGAGTAGAAGATTGGAGGGTGGGATGGAAGGGTGGGCAGAGGGAGAGAATTAAAGAAGAGGAGCAAAAAAGGAAGAGAATAAAGAAGAGGGAGAAAAAGAAAAAAAAAGATGAAAGAACAGAAAAGAGAAATGGGAAAAAAAAAAGGAAAATGGAAGAAAAACGAAAAGTTGCTCATTAACCTGGTTATGTTTAACAGAGACAGATGATTTTCCACAGGACAAAGTCTTAATGGTAATATCTAAACAGGTTCAATATGAGAGTCATCAGCTTAATGCCCAAGCATTTTAATAATAAAGTATTATTAGAAAAAGAGAAAAATGGGCTGACAGGGAAGACTCAGAATTCTGAATTAACTTCTCGAGTCCTTTTCATTCATGCCTACCAAACTAGAATTCCTTGGGCACAGAATTCAGAAAGAGTCAACATGATGGTATCAAAGCTGATGAAACCAGAGATCTTTTATATCACCTTTATTTTGTTGAAACTTCACAGAGCTACAGTGGTTAGAGATAAAGAAATAGAATGAATTCTCAGTTCTATCAGTTGTGATGGAATTACTGCCAAATTGCACAGGTGGGAGATTAAAATCAGTCTCAAAATATTTAGAATTTATTATGATCTCTTGTCATCTATACACCTTACAGGAACTTTCTTCTTAATTGAAGAATGACTAAATTATAATTATACTGACTGACAGAACTTTAATAAACTTTGTAAGAACACTGTTTATGACTTTGAGTGATCTGGAATATCAGCGCTGAACCCTGAGGAAGTTTCCTCCCTTTAAAATTCGTGCCTTCACATCAGCCAGCTGGAAGACCTGGCAATCAACACTTTCAATCCTGATATGAAAACTAGATCCAGCCTCCTAAACTGTGCTACTTCCCAGAACAGAAGATTCTGTGGAGCTGCAGTTCTGCCCAACTTTAGAAAGCATTATACAACACGTAATAAAAAACTGTTTGTTGTGGCGAGGTGAGGGAAGAAGGAGGAGGAGACAAGAAGAAGGAGGAGGAGGAAGAGGAGAAAGAGGAAGAGGAGAAGGAGAAAGGAGGAGGAAGTTTTTCCCTACAGAAAAAGAAAATATTTGGTTGACATAATATCTGCAATACAAGATTAAGTGATGATCCTGCACAGTTCCAAAAATCTTGATTTCTTGCAGCACTCCAGATTAGTCTAGCAGAATTTACTGACCAATGCAGAAGCTATCAGTATCTCATATTAATCCATTAACCCTTTTTTTGCCCCATTTAGCATTTTTGCTAAGCTTGTATTCTGTGTCAGCCCCTACCCAATGGGATGTGATAGACCAATGACACATAGCTAGATGTCTTTGTGAAGTGGGAAGAAAGGAATTCTTGCTTGAGAACAAAGTCTCTTTCTTCAAAATGTGTATACTTGTTCTGTGGTAAATGTTATAAAATTCTAAAAGTAGGAGTCTAGGTCATTTTTTCAAAGGACAGAATTATGCCCTTCTGTATCACATTAACCACAATGACCAGGCCAATAGGTCTGCAGTGGACACAGAGTCTGAAGAAAAAAGTAAAACCTTCCCTGCATGGTGTGACACTGCTTAGAGGAGTGAATTTGCCTCATAATTGAGTTTAACTGAACAGAATGTTGCTACTGACTATGCAGACAAATCCCACATGCTTAAAGAATAAAATATTCTATTTCTTTTTAGCTAAATTTATGAGGGGAAAAAAAAAAAAAAGAAAAATTTTGCATCTCATTTTTCAGTTCATCAACAACCTGCTGGGACATATGGTATATTGCCCTGTCTAGCAGCAGAAATAGAAAGGATCACTAAAATCATGTGTTTTGTCAATCCAGCTAGCACTGAACCTAGGAGAAGCTATTTCATTAACCACCAGTCTTTTAGTGAAGATAATAATGAATTAAAATGAGAGAAACTTTTAGGAAACACTGAAAGGTAATGGACTGAGATCCAGCAATAACCTGAGTCCTTTACTAGGTGGCTTGTGGTCTGAGCAAGGAGAATAAGAGAAGGACACAAAGAACGATGAAGAATTAATTTTATGGTCTACAAGATGCACACAAGGAGCCAGGCAAATGTAAATCTCAGCTGCAGAACTCAACACCACAAATGGCCACCCAAAACAGGTAGGAAAAACTCCAGTGTTGGTTATAACCCCAAGGTCCAGCTTGTAAACCACAACAGTGATAAGCTGGGAATTTGTGTTTCACTAAAGATTTGAAGGCTTCAATTTTAGATCCAAACCAAGGATTCAAAAAGAAAAGGTTGAAATGTAGGGTGTCTATCTTTCAGAATGCTGAGATATACTTTATTTTTAGAGTATTTTTAAACAAAAGCCATACTTATAAAGATTCTGTGCAGTCTTCTAACATTCATTCTCAAAATATTACTGCACCAGCTGACTTTTCTACAAAAGATAAGGGCATGAGCTGATCCCACAGATTCCTTGGGATCATGAATTAGATCAATCCATGAGAAAGGAAAATTCTTTCATCCTTGTCCTTCTCACCATGTCCATAGTTTGAAAATGTATAAGACTCTGTAGGCCAAAAGAATGGCCCCTGACTTAAAAAGCAAACCTCACAAAGTTCACAGTGTGTTCTAGTAACATCAGGGTCTTTCTGAATTTCTTCAAAAAACTTTGGACAAATAAGGATGGGTCACAACCTGATCTACATTCCAAAGAATGGGACATTGGTAAAAACCTCCCAAGTACCAAAAATTCGACTCTGGAGATAAATGAGCCATTTGTGATGTAATAAAAGGTGGAGTAAGTGAGGGGACATGTAAAGATGGCATCCCACATTCTACAACTCCAAGGATCCATGCACTCCTCCCCACTTAAGAGTGCTGCCCTATCAATCCCTGTATCCCTGAATTCTGCATTTGTGCAAGGCAGTGAGTCGGGTCTGTGATCTGATCCAGACTTTATAGCCAATCTCAATCTATTATCCCTTTTTTTAATTGGTTCCACTAATGAACCAGTCCTTTTCTTTATCATTCAGGATTACCTAAACATGTTACTAGCAACAGTGTTCCAGCTAGGTGGAAAAACAAAAGTAGTAAATTTGATTTTCCCAAAGGCTAAAATCAGTTTGAGGAGTACCTGGAAAGAAAGGGGAAAGAAAATAAAGAAAGATCTTGCTTTGAGACTTAGGATAGCTGCTTTGTGAGTCTGTAGCAGCTGCTGAGATATTTTCCATACTGAAGGCCTGACCCAAACTTTCAAATAACCAGGGCAACCACACATGGATACACACTTCAGTCTTGGCATGTAATTACCAAGAGAGGCAGTAAGGGCTCCTTCCTTTCCACCCAAACCTGCAGCTGCTCTAACACCTCCTTGCTAAAGATCCCAGCAGCCAAGGGAGCTGCCCCAGCTTAGCTCATGGCAGCCCAAGCACAAGAGAAATAAATCATTAACACCTTGAGGAGGACACAGAAACAAAATTAGTGACATGGTGCAGCATGGCAGGGGCAGAGAAAGACAATTTCCTGAGTTTGGGCTGTTTCCTCAGTCCTGTGAAATGCCCTACCAATTAGAGCACTAAATTAATTTTAATGACATGTTCTGTGTACAGAAGACTTACCTTTAGGTAGCATATATGTTATAACTAATGTAGAGTACATCCATAAGATACTTTTTATACTTAACAACATCTTGACCTAGAAATGAAGAACAAAGGAGTAAGTGGTTAGTATTGCACGGTGTCCTTAGCAAATGTTGTAACTCAGCACATCAATATTTGTCACTGGTATCAAGAAACAGTCATTTCTGCTTTCAGGGCATTTCATTTAGCAATTTATGGTGGAGATTTGTTATAATGACCACATGCCTCCATTGAATAGAGATTTGTTATGGGTGTTCAGGTTGTGGAGTCCTGAGTGATGCTCTGATATGTCAGTTCCCTTGGGGTTTACCTCTCACTTTCCTTTACAGGCTCCACCTTCCAACAGCTGGAAAGCTCTTCACATGAACCCAATAATAAATTGCATGTTCACAATATTATTTCACAGTTTTCATTTCCATTCATAGTTACACATGTTGAACCTGTAAATATCTCCAAAATTACAAAAGCTCAACATTACAAAAATTACAAGACACACAAACACCAACAAATACAAAGGGTTTATAAATATTCCCTCATCCATACAGTTACATGTACATGCTGTGAACATCCCAACATAATAAATTACTTTCAGCAGCAGTTTGTCAAAACGCCGACAAATTTTTATCACTACCTTGATTTCCCTGATATTGCTGCAAAATCTGCCACCTGAACTCTTCCCTAGGACAAGTAACCAAGCTCACAGTTTTTTTTCCTGTTCAAGAGAGCTTGCAGTTGAACTGCCTTAAGGATCAGTGAAGGAGAGATTTAATAGACACATACCTGTGTTGTAACTATGGAACCTGCACTGCACACATGTACCATTTAAAACTTCTACTTTTAAAAACTCCACAGGCTGCACTGAACATGACAGCAAAAAAAACCCGGAGAGGCAGCTTCAGAGAACTCCTGGTGACGTGTTCAACCTCAGGACAGTTCTCTCCACAGCTCACAGCTGCAGCCCAAACTCCACAGGAGTCTGTGTGAACTGGCACACGTCCTGCAACGTCTGAGCAGCACGGCAAAGACGCAAAACATCTCCAACCAAGCCCTTCCAGTGAGGCAAGTTAAAAATTCCCACCCAACAGGGCTGAAAACCCCAGAGCCTTTCATTCTCTGTACAAGGATGGCCAGAGCCAGCTGATTGCACAGGGAAACATGTGCTACAACCTATTCCCTGGGCGTGGAGGGAGAAATGCAGCTGCTTTCCACAGAGCAGGCTGCACGCTGCCAAGGACGCCCCATGTCTGCTGCAGCCATTCAGGACAGCTGAGTGCAGAGTGTGATATCACTTATTTTGCAACGTGAACTTCATGGAATTTGCACTTTTCACAACTGAGTCCCAAACTAGAACCGGGACTTCATTCAGTTTAAGCCCTACAGGCCATAAAACTTCTTGTGAAGACCCTAACATCTACCCCCAAAACCATTCAGCCAGACTTTTATCTCTTCCTACATTTACACAAGCCAAGCTGCACGTGAAGAAAACAAAAGTGATTATTTATTAGCTAACTTTAAAATTCTATACTGTCCCTGTAGAAGGCTGTTATGAGTGAGGAGGTTGCACAAGATCAGAGCTGCAGACATCCAAGTCCTCTGAATGCAATGGATCAGATCTGAAATACAGAGTCACATGCTTGCTTAGATAAACACTTAAATGATCCTCATTATTACACAACAATTAAAAGAAAAAGTGATGTCAGTTTGAGCCTACAGATGTGCAGAAGGACCTTCAAGCAATCCTTGTATCCCAAGAATGCTGGAAGCCTCAAACACCAAAAGCACTGCAGTGAAGCTCCTTTGGTAACACAAGCGCTCTGATGAGAGCATGAAAAGAAAACTGACTGGAAGAATTCTCCACCTTCCAAGGTGCTGGGTGAAGGACCCGCCAGACAAAGTTCTGGCACCTGTGGGAGCTGAGTGGCTCCAGACCCTCTGAGATGTTCTGCCCACATGTGCTCCCATGCGTCACACACTGGCTGCATCCACAGCAAAGCCGAGGTCCAGAACAGAATGTTTACAAGTTCAGCTCTCCATGTTTACCCATGAGTTTTATCTCCCTCCTTCCCCTGAAGGCAACCTTGCCTTTTGGGACCAGAACCAAGGGAATCAAAGAAACCTGACAAGAAAAAGAACAAAGTATTTTCTTTTTCCCAGCAATGGGGGCAATGTTGCACCTAAGCAGGGCTGGTTGCATTTTGCACCTGGCCCACTTCCCTGGCTCTGACCTGGCATACCTGGGTGCCTGGCACGTGTCAGTGGAAGCCTGTTGCCCTTGGAAGTTCATTGCAATTGCTGTCATAACACAACTGTTTCCATGTTTGGTAAGAACACAAACCCTGCTGCGACGCTTCCAGTCACCAAACACAACACACACACCCACAGGGAAAGGTGAAAACAGAAAGGCAACTCTGGAAGGGCAATTTTCAACGTGTCCATGGGAACAGAAGAGGACATTCCTGGATGTGATGGCTCCTAGCCTTTTACTGAGTAGGGCAGGAATTACACCTGCTGCACCAAGGGCTTGGATAGCGCCAAAAAACTGCACTGTTTGAGCACAAAGCTTAGTATGAGACTCTTGCCAAAACTCCCTACCTGGCTCTTGGAAAACCACCTCCTGACTTTTTATAAATCTTCTTTATCCTGAAATGCTCACTCAAGCAATGGAAACCCCTGGAAGAATGGTCTGATTTTCAGCCCTAAGGGTCAGGAGTGTGACTCCCACACAACCCTCCACACCTGAGGGTTGGGTTTCATGCCCCAGGCCTTGGTGGGTGCCCATAAACACTCCTGGGTTGCCCAGTGCTGCTCCACTCCAGCTGCCAGAATTAAACATGGAATCATCCCTGCCACCCTCTCCAAGCATGCAGACCACAACAGCAGCAGCACCTTGCTCAGCCCCACAGGGCAGCCTGGCTCAGGAGCAGACAGAGCTCTGCAGACCTGGTGCCAGAAACCCTGCTCAGGACCCACAGGTGAGGCAGAGGTTGCTGCTTTACACCTCACCCCCATTCCCACCCACATTTCCAGGCTCTTGGATGTGATTGCTCCTGCCTCCTGCCCTTCTGCTGGCAGAGGCTGCAGAGGACTGAGCTCTCTTGTAGCCCCCAGACCTAAATCCCTGCTCTAAAACGCGTTTGTGTTTCCCTTTCCTGCACCCTACAGCTCACAGAATTCTGCTGTCTGGCTGCTGCACTGCCCCTAAGTCCACTGCAATTAGCCAAAATCCATCCAACTATACCTTTTTCCACAAGATTTTTTTTTTTTCCCCCTTGGTGTCACTACACCCATAGTAAAAGAAATCCATAACACAGTGAGCAAATCTTGCCAACTCAAGCTGCAAGATTTGAGTAAGTGTTTAATTTCCACCTTCTGCTAAAAAAGTACCTCACTTGACGTGACCAAACTTGGGTTGCCTGCTGGCTGGTTTCCAACTGGGCTGATCCATTTCATCAGGAGCTACTAAAGGCAGACGGATCTACAGTAGGAATTGGTGTTACATTTCTAAATGGGACGCAGCCCTGAGTGCAGCATCTTTAAAGCAATAGATGCAAAACCCCTGGACAAACTTCACATCTTTAAAAATTAGCAGTAGGGGCTCTCTCTGTGGGAAAAGAGAGAACTCTCCTATTTTTGCAGGCGCTGCTACCTTCCCTTACTACAGCAAAAACTCATAGGAGCAGTAAGTTCTGACCAAATTCCAGCTTGTGTTTAGTTTGCAGTGTAAGCTTGACCTCACACCAATGCTATTTTAATTTAACCAGATGAGGGAACATCATGTCTCTCTTTCTGTTTAAAACTCCAGGTTCAAAAAGCAAATTGTCTTGGTGTGGAAGAGACTAAAGCTTACAATCCAAAAATACTCCTGGTTTCTCTGAAGCTGAGACAATGAGGAATTTGCCATATTAACCATTTTCATAGAGGTAACAATGTCTCTGAAACCTGCAACTTCTCAGGTCACGCTGAAATTAGTTCTGCACATGCTCAACAGCTGCAATGTGAAATCTGGATATGTTCCTTAAACACATCAAAAGCAGCCTCTGCCCATCTGACCCTCATAGTGAAAGTCAGAATGACATAAAAGATTAAAAGAAAATAAAAAAAAAAAAAAAAGAGGGTGGGACCCAACAGAACCTGGCACTAGAGAAGAGAATGAAGGTTGCTCATTCTAATGGGTAAAACAGTAAATTAGAGTTTCCAGTGGAAACCCAAAAAGGTAGAAATGACCAACCCTAGTCATAGCACATCCCTTGCTACCTCCCAAACTCTGAAAGCTTCACAGGTACCATCCTTCCTCAAAGGCACACATTCTGCACTTCCCTTTATGCTGCAGTCCTTTGATCCCTGTTAATTGCTGCCATGTATCCACCTCACCATCAGCACTACCTAATTAACTTTGCCAGCCCCACCACCTCTCTGCCACGTGATTAATTAGCCCACTGTGCCAACACATGGCACATCAGCCTGCATCCGATTCACCAGTGGCCCCCGCTTGGCCTGTTACCCCTTAGAAATGCCCTCCCAAAGCCTTGGAGAAGGTCTTTGGGGTGTCTGCATCACCCCAAATCATCTTCCTCATCACCTCCAGCAGCTGTGGGGGGAAACCCCTCCAGGCTGAGTCCTTTTGGTGCTGCCTGCAGGTGCTGTCTGGAGCACAGACAGGAGCAGTGACCAGAGCACAGCGTGTTCTGGCTGCAGCAGCAGGACATCCCTCACAGCCCCGTGCTTGTGTGCCAGGAGCAGCTCCAGGCTCTGGGACAGCCACGCAGAGACACAGTGGAAAACTGCCAGAGGCAGCGCGTGGAGGAGCAGCAAGCACACCCTGCTCCTTCTGCATCACCCTACTCCACCTTGTCGCTCCTGCCTTCCAGAAACATTGAATATCCCAAGCTGGACACACAGGGATCAGCAAGTCCAGCTCTTAGCCCTGCACAGGACACTGACAATCCCACCCCGTGCCTGACAGCATTGCCCAGACACACTGACCTCTGTCAGGCTTGGTTGCAGGAGAGCTGAGGGCCACCTCTCTCCAGCAACTGCACTGGTGGAAACAATGTGAAGGTGTCACTGACAGCATCCTGCACTGCCATGGCGGGGTTAGGCACCAGGATCCCGCTGTGGGCTCCAACAGGGGTTCCTCAGCCCTCTCGGGGCTCACTCAGTGCCGCTGCTGGGCACAAGGGTGGCTGTGGGTGCCCTCAGCTCGCTCTGCCATCCCCACAGCCCCAGTGCCACCTCAGGCCTCAAGCCCAGGCACTGAGGGGCTGCTCAGAGTCGGAAAGGTGCCAGTCTCACCCGCTGTCCAGCACTGCCTGCTCCAGCGCCACAGAATCAGGGAATGGTTTGGGCTGGAAAGGGCTTTAAATGTCACCCAGTGCCATCCCTGCCACAGCAGGGACACCTCCCACCATCCCAGGCTGCTCTCAGCCCCAGTGTCCAGCCTGGCCTTGGGCAGTGCCAGGGATGCAGGGGCAGCCCCAGCTGCTCTGGGCACCCTGTGCCAGGGCCTGCCCACCCTGCCAGGGAACAATTCCTCATTGCCAAGATCCCAGCCAGCCCTGCCCTCTGGCACTGGCAGCCATTGCCCGGCTGCTGTCCCTGCAGCCCTTGGCAATTGTTTGTGTCCATCTTTGCTGCGGCCCCTTCAGGCCCTGCCAGGCCACCCTGAGCTCAGGCCAAAGCTTCTCCTGCCCAGGTGAGCAATGGCAGCTGTGCCAGCCTTTGCTGCCGGCAGAGCTGCTCCATCCCTCTGCCCATCCTGGAGCCTCCTCTGTACTCACTTCTTGTGCATAAGACTCGATGGGGAATGCGAGGAACAGCGGAGACAGCGGCTTTTACCGAGGAGGTGTTGCGTATTTTAAATTATTTTATTACGGCGGTGATTTGTGGGGGTTTGGCCTTTTTTTCCCCTCACGGTGCCGGGCCCGGAGCCCTCTGGCGGGAAACCGGCGGCCGCTGGAGCTGCCGTGCCGCCGCTCGCCGCCCGGGGGCGCCGCGGGGCCGCCGCGCCCGCCCCGTTCCTCGACAGCGGCCGCGCCCCCGGGCCGGCCCCGGGCCCACGACCCCAAACCGGGCCCGAACCCGCGGGTCCAACACGGAACCGAGCCCGCCGCCCCAAAACCGGCACTCACCGGTGACCCCCGGCGGACACAGGACACGGAGAGCCCCCCAAAGCCCAGCCCTGCCACAGCCTCCCCCCGCCCCAGCGCGGGGCCGCGCCCGCCCCGTCCCGGGCTCGCCCCGCCGAGCCTTGCTCGCTCCTTGTGGGGGAGGAAACTTCCCCTTTCGCTCAGAGCGAGAGGCCAGGAAAAGAAAGGAGAAAAGGATTAAATAAAAAAGGCACGGAAATCAAGGCAATCACTGAACCCACCCAGCGTTTACGCTCTCCCATCCCGGGATGGGTTTTTGGTTTGGGTTTTTTTGCTTTTTTTTTATTGCAGCGCGTTTCGACGCTCACGCCTCAATTAACGAAAAAAAAAAAAACGGGAAAGAGAAGGGGAGGGGAAGGTGGAGGGAGGAGGAGGAGAAAAGGGGGGAAAGGGGAAGGAAAGGGAAAAAAGGGAGGGAAAGGGAAAAAGAGAGGAAGGGAGGAAGAAGGGAGGGACAGGGCAAGAAGAGGGAAAGGGATGCAAAAACGGGTAGGGAAAAGGAAGAAAGAGGAGGGGAGAGGGAACAAAAAGAAGGGGAAGAGGAAAAGGGGGTAAAGAAAGAAGAAAAGAGGGAAAAGGAAAGGAAGGAGGGGAAAAGTGGAGGAAGGGAAAGAAGGAGAAAAGGAGGAAGAAAAAGGACGAAGGAAGAGAATGGGGAAAAGGGAGAAAACCCGAGGGAAGCGGGTGATAAGAAGGGGAAAAGAAAAAAAAAAAAGAAAAAAGAAAAGCCATGGGGGCTTAATCCCGAGAGCCGGTGCAGGGAGGGAGGGAGGAAGGGAGAGGGGGTGGCCGGGAGGACGTGACCAGGGGGACAATGAGGGACAATGAGGGGCGGCCCCCGCCCGCTGCCCGCCGCCCCTTTGTGTGGGGACGGGGCCGGGGCCCGGCGGAGGCTGCCCGCGGTCCCCCACACACACAGACACACACACAGAGCCGCTCCTTCCCGCCGTCGGAACTCCCCGCTTGCCCTCCACCGTGCTCTCACTTCTTTCCCTTTGTAACACAAAGGCGAAATCCCTGGCAGCGGAGGGGGGAAGGCAAAGCCCGTGCCCCAGAAAGTGGACGTGGGTGTAAGAGGGGGCGTTTTGCTCCACTGACCTTGCGATCCTCCTCCTCCTCCTCCTCTTCCTCTTCACCCACTGCCCCCCTTTCCGCAGAGAAAATGTGGTTCGGGGCACGCTGCTCGCCGGCTCCTCTGGAGAGATGCTGAGCACCTCAGAGCCGCTCTGCTCTGCGAGCAGCTTTCCAGGAACAGCAGGGGAAGGGATTGGAGGGGGGGAAAAAAGGGGGGAAAAAAGGGGATGTGGGGAGCACACAGGAGCGGAGGACACAGAGCGCACGCTTTTCCCAGCGCTACAAAACTGGTGGCCGGGGGGAAAGGTCCGTTCTGGTCGCTCCTGCCACACGGGCGCTTTGTGTACTTAACACCCGTAAGGAAGAGCTTCCTCCCGGTCTCCCTCCGGAGCCCCGTCGCACGCCAAGGTGCGGCTCTACCTTCCCAGCCGTCCAAAGCCACCAGCACCGAACACTCTTGTCAGGCATCCCACCCCAAAGTCTTCTATTCCCTAGTTTTCTTTGTTCTCCTCTTTGCACCGTTTTTTTCTTCTCTTTTCTTGTATTTTTTCCTTTTTCTTTTTTTTTTTTAGTGGGTTCCCGAGCATCCCTCCTTCTCCTCTTCCCCCGCGTGTCGTTGAACTTACCCCAGGTTGTTTAAATTCACCAATCATCGCTATTCCCTCCCCGCTTAAGATTTGCAGTTCAAACTCTTTGTTGGTGCAAGCAGTACAACAATTGTTTTAAATCTTAGACTAGGTGTTTGCTGGTAGTCATATTATAGAAAAAAAAAAAAAAGGAGGGGGAATAAAAAAAAATCACTACAAACCAACCCGCAATAAAAGAGTTATAGTTACCTTAAAAGGTAGCGTGTTGCAGAGATAGCAAAAAATCACAACGTGGTGGCTGGGCTAGTCCAGAGATCCCAGTGGCCGCATGAAAGAGTAAATCCCCTCGTTAGTGCTGGAAGGAGCCGGTGGTTCCGGGCTCTCCCCTTGTGCCGGAGCTCGGTGTCCCCTCCTTCGCTCGCTTCCCGCCAGCGAGCACCTGACTCCGAGCGGCGGAGCCGGGACCGAGCAGTGGGCACAGGGAGCGAGCCTGCAAGTTCAAATGCGAGCCTCAGCCACCCATCATTATTATATCGTTGTACCGTCAGCGCTGCAGAGGAGGGGCGCTGGCTCGGGGAGAGGAGGGTTCACAAGCTCTGCGAGAGCCTCCTTGCAATTTCCAAAGCTCCCGCAGCTGCTGGGCGCAGGAGAGCCCCCAGCGCCTCCCTCCAACGAGCGGGGCCCCCCCGCCCCCTGCCCGGCCCGGCCCGGCCCGGCCGCCCCTCGGGGCTCCCTCCGGCCCCCAGACCCGGAGCGGGGACCCGCAGCCCGGTGCGGCGGGACGGGTCCGTCCGAGCTCGCCCGGAGCCCTCCGGAGAGGGGCAGGCGGGTGCGAGAGGCGCATTGTTCCCCAATTAGACAATTAACCGGGAAGAGAATGGAGAGACCTCCTCCACCCTGGCTCCCGAAGCCGGTTGAAATGGGGAAAGTGACTGGGACCGAAATGCCTTTTTCCCCTTTGCCTCCCCAGTCTCAGCGGAGGTTGCAATGAAAGAATAAATCGGTGCTGGTTCCAAACTTCCCCTGCCGATGCCAATTCACAGGCAGCCTCACATCGGCAGCCGCCCGAGCCAAGCTTCTCCACCCATACATCTCCAGCCACTTTCTTTTTCTTTTTTTTCCTTTTTTTTTTCTTTTTTTTTTTTTTAAGATTAGACTCTGCATTTGCTGTCCAAACCTCTCAGAGAGATGAAGTCATAAGTGGAACTCTAAACCACCCTTTTACAAGGGATGTTCACCAGTTCATAAAGGATCTGGTGTGCTCTCCAGGCAGCCCCCATCCCAAAATGTACCTATCTCAGAATGTGGGAGACATTTAAGGCACCCTCACCAAGCACAAAATGCTGGCAAGAGCAGCTCCTCTGGCGTGCTCCCTCTCCGAGAAGCAGATGCCAGAAGTCCCCCTCCTCCAGGAAGGTGTAAAGCTGGAGCCAGAAAAGAAAAGCCTGGAGAAATAGGTGTGTCTGATTGCACTGCTCTGGGCACGTTTTTGGCAGCCCCAGGTAGGAACACTAGGAAGAGGCAGAGGGAGTTTTCCTTCATCTCCTCTTGCTGTTACTGTTCCAGCTGCTCTGTCTGTCCCCAGTTACACTGACAGAGGATTTCAGACAAGCCCAAAGCCCTTGTTTCCAAAGACAGACCTCGGTGCCAAGTTGGAGGGGTGGGAGGTGGAAGAGATGACAGCCGAGCAGGCAGAAATGGAGACCTGGAGGCTTAAGCCAGATCAGCTTTGTGTGAGCTGTGGCCTGGGTGAGCGGAGCTTGAGCACTGGCTGAAAACCTTATCTCAGCTTGCAGAGCTTGTTTGTTTTCCCTCCTTACACGGAGTAAATACACAATTTCTTGCTTGGGATGTTGAATGGAGGCTTCTCTCCCACCAGTGCTACCTCCCAGCAGCACCAGATCCTCCCAGTTCCTCTTGCCTGGGTCAGCCCTGCTTGGGCACTGCCACACCTCAACACACCGGACCTGCCCCACGCTGGGACGAGGTTTCTCAGTCCTTGAAACTTTCTGAATCCTTGAAGTGCTTGAAATCGTGCGTCAGAAGAGCTGACAACGCTCTGTTTTCAAGCAGGCACTACAAACAGTTGTGGTCACGTTTCTTTTTTTGAGGGTGTTTGATGCAAATTCACACAGTTCCTGTTTTTGGTAGCCTTGCCTGCCTCGCCAGTGTCACTGCTGAGGCACTGCACACTTCCTCAGCACAGTGCTGTGATGAAAGGAGGACACTGACGTTGAATCTCTCCCACACGGGTTCAAACAAGCCTCTTCTGCCCCCCCAGACCTAAGGGGGTTGGCTGAGACACACAGTGAGGGCACTGTTCCCTCTCCCCGCACAATCTCAGCCTTCCCAGGCTGCAGACAAACCCTCTGAAGACATAGGTGTAAGGCAGGAATCCCTCTGGCCCACTCCTTTTTCTAGGTGAAGAGGTGGGAGACCATCCTGCTGCATCCCAGGACATCCCCCATGGCACTGGGTATCTCCCTTTATCCAGGCCACCCTCCAGGACAAACAAGGAACTTCTAAATGACCAGGCACCACAGTCAAGCTGCCCCTCTGGTCTTCAGTGGCCCCAGCTTCCCAGCTTCACCTGTTCTTACTCTGCTCCCTGCCTTGGTTTCAGGTGGGAGAGGTGACATTCAGCAGAGGCAGGAGCCACTTCTGCATCCCTGAGCTTGCTTCTTCCTCATCCCGCGACCCTTGAGTCCAGGGAGACTGAACAACTGCTCCTGGCAAAGGGTGGGAAGAGGAGAGGATGACTCTGCTGGCCCTGCTCTGCTGTGGAGCATCCTCTGGCAGCTGCGGCTGCAGCAGCACAGCTCCACGAGGGGAAGCTGCAGGTTTCTGCTCCCACTGTGCTGTGCTCGTGTCCAGCTGAAGCACTGGCCACCCCTCCAGGGGATGGGGAGATCCTGAGTCTGACCAGAATCCCGAGCAGGGAGTAGGGCCGGGGGGTAGCGCAGCTCCCTGCCCTACAAGCACGAGCAAGAAGCAACCTGTAGTAATAGCCCGGGGCTAACCAGCCTCGGGTCGGCTCGCTGCTGGCACCTCTTTTTTTTCTTTTTCACGATGGGAAAGAAAATAGATTATTTCTTTAAAGAGAAAAGACCTCTTCCCCCCTCCCCTTTCCTTTCCCACCGCCCGGCTGCCGGAGCTCTGATGGGAACCGGCCGGGCAAAGCCGCTCCGTCTCGGAGCTGGGAGAAAAGCGGAGGATGCAGAACCCCCAGCCCCTTCCCCCTCCTCCCCAGCCCCCTCCCCGCCTTCCTCCTGCTCCTCCTCCTCCTCCTCTTCCTCCTCTCCGCCCGGCGCGGAGCTCCCGGAGCCCCCGCGGAGCCTCGGGGCCCCGGGGCTGCAGGAGCGGAGCCTCCCCTTCCTCACCCTCCGCAAGGAGAGGAGGCGGGCGGGGCGCTCCGCGCTCCCCGCCTGCCCTTCCCGCGGTTGGGACGGAGGTTTCTGGGCACGGGGGAGGCTTTGGGGCTGGCCAGACAAAGGCACGGGCGGGGGTGGGCGCAGGGATCCTGCGGGGCTGGGAAGGGAGGGATGAGGAACTCGTCCCGGGCATCCCCAGCCCGCCAGGGAGAGAAAACCCCCGGAGGAAGGAGGGTGTGTTACACCGGAGACCCTCGGGGCTTTTCGGGATGACTGGGGAAAGTGAGGAGCGGATCAAGCTGGAAAAACAGAGCGCTGCAGCCCCTCGGTGTTTTTTTCATCTCATTTTATTTAACCCTCCCCACCTTCTCCGGGAGCCAAGCTTTCTGCACTGAACCAAAAAAACTGCCCAGAAAGGGGATCTCCTTTCCTCCTCTTGGAGACCACGCAAACTGCCTCCATGGGTTATGTCAGGGGCCCGAAACGTTGTGTGATTTACTGTGAATGTCAGATACTTTTCTTTCTAAATATTTTAGGCAAAGTAGAAACAGTAAACCTTTGGTCAGGCTGCCAAAGTCTCCCATGACAAATCATTGTTTTCAGATGTTCAGATTTGTGTGAGAAAACCCAACAAAAGGGAAAATGTTTAGGCTTTGTCTCCATCCTAAAGCAATATCACTCGAGAAAAAAAAAATAATCCTCCCAGCTACGTCGTAGTCCAGAGATGAAGAAAAATACTATTTTCATTACACACTTCTTAAGCACAGGTTTTATGTTACTGACTCAACAATGATTATCATCTTAAATGTGAAACACAGGCCCTAAATGGTTCTTTATGAGAAACCATTGTTTTCAAATATCTGAAATTAATTAGACCATGGCTACAGTCAATGTGCAAATATCAAACTGAACATCTGTGGAAAAAAAGCGCTTCCCATCACTTGAAAGAATATTGTGGGTCTGAAACACAGTCTCTCAAGGAAAATCTAATTTGTCTGGCATAGGTTCTCTTAAGCTATCTTTTGTGGCTTCACAATCACCTTTTCTTTGTCTCTTCTGTGCTTTTTTTTTTTCTTTCCTACTGAGCTGCTATGTGTGAAAAAAACTTTACGTAAAAGTAAAGGAAATAATTCATGTAATTTAGATGTCAGCAGCGCTACGGCCAGTTCGAGGCAAAATCAAAGATCCTTTCAAAGTTATTCCACCTGGTCAGTGGCTCTGAGGGTCCAGCTTCCCACACCCATCTACTTGCAAAGGGCTGTGCCATGGCAGCTGCGCTGAAAATGAGTCCAGTGCCCCAGTTTTCCTCTCAGAGGTACAGATATGTAGGCTGCTTCCTTATTCTGCAGTGATTCAGTTATCTAAACCCCAATGTGTTCTCAGAAACCACAAAATCTCCCGAAACAATAGACTTTTTGCAAGTTCTCAGATTCCACATTTAAGAAAAGCTTTTTTTTTTTCCCCCCTCCCCAGTACTTCTCTTTCCTACGCTTCGAGTGAAATATGTTTTCAGAGGCAAATTAAAACTCTCCAAAGGAGTCAGGCTGAGCAGCAGTGGTAACCATAGTGTACACAACCGCTTTCTCAAACAAAACACTTGATGGCTTATGTCAATGTTTCTTTTGTGGCAAAACCCTTCTCCACCTATTTTTACTCCATATTTCTTCAGCAGAGGGGAGAGCACTCAGCTATGAAAAACCATGAATAGAGTGTTTCATTTGGTAGCAGAACAAGCCACAATTGATGGTTAGGTATTATTTCTGCATTAAATGTAATGATGCAGACACGGCACTATCTGCACTCAGATAGTCAGTTTCCAGGACAGGATTTATCAGGAGAAGGTCCAGGCTTTCAGCAGCACTGGATGATGATGGCAAAGGCAATGATGTTTTCCTCCTGTGTTCTGATGCTGCCTTCTGTTCTGACTCAGTGTTTCTGCCTTGACTCCAAGGACAAGGGGCCAGACTGGGATGTTTTATGTTTCCACGGCTAATCCCCCCAAAAGCTGTGTCAGGAAGCTGGTGGTTTTTGGTTCTGGCTGGTGTAAGTGTCAGGCTGTGTCTCCAGGTCAGCCT